TTCTTTTCTACTTAGTTCTTTTTAATGATGATTGTGAGAATATAGTGATCTTAGGAGCCACTAGTACAGGGATTCTGAGCCCTGCCAATTCACAAAAAGTGCCTTTCAGTGCTCTGAAAAAACCTGTATGCTCACATAACATCCCCAGGTATTTTGATTTAGTAAGTTTGGAACCAGGACCTAGCATCCTTGCGAAAATCCGCCCTGAAGATTTTAAAGTGAAGCCTGGGGTGACATCATTGGCACTAATGGGTAGTGATTAATATGATGAAACCCATTGTTTTAACACATAAAAATAATATGTACCCATGGGTCAAGAAGATCTTCTTTATTCTCTGACCATCATTCTAGTTGGTGGGCAAGACAAGGGGTGGGGAAGTAATCAGGCCCATTGACTCACATCTACTGGGGTCATTATACAAAGAGGTGATGTACTAGTTTTCTAGAGCCACAGTGAAAAATTACCATAAGCTGGGTGGCTGAAATAACAGAAACCTGTCCTTTCACAATTCTGGATACTATAAATCCATCGTCTAGGTGTCTGCAGGGCCGTTTTCTTTGAAGGCTTTAGGGGGAAAGCCTCCCTTGCCCCTTCCTAGCTACAGGTAGTTCCTGGCAGTTCTTAATGTGCCCTTACGCACACATGCATCACTACAGGTTCTGCCTCCTTTGTCCCCAGGCCTTCTTCCCTGTACCCCCACACCCTTATATCTTCAAATTTTATAAGGATGCAAGTCATTGTATCAAATCCAATATAACCTCATTTTAACTTGATTTCATCTGCAAAGACCCTACTCTCAAATAAGGTGACATTTACAGGTATTACAAGTTAGGGTTTCAACATATCCTTTTTGGGGAAACACAATTTGACACACAACAGGCAATGTCTGTGTCTACTGAGCACCATCAGCACAAATTCTAAGACCTAGTTACTTTTCAAGGACCCATGGAAAATGTTTAAAACTTGAAAAACAATGTAAAACTATGAGCTCCAAAGTACCATAGAAAATTACAAATATGAATTTTAAAATGTTGAATTGAATGTCAATAAACTATAATAAATCTATTTCATAGATTCTACTTTTTAAAACTGTGAGTACTTTAATTTATAAAAGTGGTTATAAATAACATGTGGACTCCATTTTCCTCACCTCTAACAATTCTCCAGTATGAATGAAGATTTGCCAAAACGTCAAACATTCAAAATCTTTTCTGATATCCCAAGGCAAAAAAAAAATATATCAAGTAGATTCTTGAAACATGTTAATATATTGCACGTGGTGTGGATGAGGTTTTCATAAATAAGGCATACCAAGAGCCTGCAGAGGTGGCACTGGCCCTGAATTTTCCACATACAATCTGGATAGATGTTGTCTAAATTTGCAAGTCTGATGAACCAATGTCTTGGACAACACCTGCTTGGAATTTTCTTAGGCAATTCCTGTGAAATTAAGAACTGAAACAATCATGTGGAGTAGACTGAGCACTCTAGGAACAGTGGAAAACCATATTCAGGGTGCTGGAAGAAATACCAGAAAAAAAAATTGCACTCAAGCCTTGGTGGAAAGACCTCATCAGAGTCTATTAAATAGCAACTATATACCAGCAGCACTGAGGCAGAGTCTTAAATTCATGTTTTCTAATTTTAAAAGACATTATTATCTGCCCCTTTCCATCAGACACTCACTTCATCAGGAGACCTGTGGACAGTGGAGTATCAGTCTGAGCTGGGGACTGCTGTTGATCAGTGACTCCTAGATGACCTGTTCTTCCTTAGAGAAACAGTTTCCTCTGTTCTACTAATATTCTTGCCTTTGATTGTACTCTGACACACTCTAGTGATTGACTCAATATGCTTCCCATGTTACGAGTTCCCAAAACAGCCCCAGATTTAATGATTTGCTAGGAGGGCTTAGGGCACTCAGCATATAATTGGACACATAGCTTTCATTTACTACAGTGAAATGATACAAAGTAAATCAGCAAAGTGAAAAGGAGCATGGCATGAGGGCTAGAGGAAAAAAGGTTCAAGTTCTTAAGGGTCTTCTCCCAGTGGAGCTCCATGAGATCCTCTCAATTCCTCCAGCAATGAGTATGCCAACAGTGTGAAAAGGTATCAGGGAAGCTCATTACAGACTTAGTGATCTAGGTTTTTATTTAGGCTGGCCACTTAGGTACCTCCTGCCTTGTATGTACCAAAATTCCAGACTTCCAGAAGGAGAATAGCATAAACTGCTGTTTGCATTTGTTCAGGCAGAGAGAGCCTCTTATCAGGAATGGTGGAAGCCCTCCTGAAATCAAAGTTCCCAGATGCCAACTTCTATAATTTGGATCTTGAGTGTCCCCAAGAGCCCATATGTTGAAGGCTTGGTCCCCAGCCCATGGCACTATTAAGAAGTGGTAGAACTTTTAAGAGATGAAAGGAAGTTGGAAGTTAAGTCATAGAAGGCCCTTGAAGGGGATAGTGGGACCTCAGGCTCCTTCCTCATTCTCTCCCTTTCTGCTTTCTAGCTGACATCCTTCACCATGCGATGAACTGCACAGCTGCTCATGTGAGGTATGCTTCTCCACAGTCATGTCTGAAAATGTTTTAAGTATACTGAGTACTTCTTCTGGATCCAGAACTAAAGGTGGTAATCAGGAGATGATTGGATTTTGGCTCTCCAAAATCATACCTGGATGTTGGACCAAAACTTGGCATTCTGTTCCTATTTCTGCTTCAATGTATTCTAAGAAACCAGCAACCCTATTCTCCATTGAGAGTTAGAACACCTATAATGGAGGCTCAGCTCTGGCATCCAGCATGAAACAGGCTGGACAGTTTTGTTGGAAAGCTATTGCTATGATGGACCAAGGCCTAGGTCCATCTCCCACCACAGTACAGACATATTTACTAAGAGCACCTGCCACTGTTTACAGGTTCTCTCAGCAGCATCATGGTAAGTAGGAAGAATAAGCACATTATAAAAGGTGTGCAAAAATGAGCCAAAAAGGAGTTTTTCCATATTGTAAAAAAGATTGGCATGATGTGAAAGCACCAGCTATGTCCCTGATAAGACATATGGGGAAATCACTAATCACAAGTAATCAAGGAGCCAAAATGGCATCTAAAGACCATGTTTCTGAGGTTAGTCTTGCTTCAAAAAGATGACATGGCATTTAGGACACTCAGGATAATTACTGAGATTTCTCCAGGCAGAAATTCTTAACCAATTCTTGGAATGGCTCTTACCTGTTCCATGGTCAAAAAAAAAAAAAAAAAAAAAAATGGCAGTGATCATGACTGAGTATGTTGACTTCACGACTCATAATACTATGTTGACATCAAAATGATGCATAGTTATTAATTTCATATGTTCCCTGTGTTTTGACATTGTTATTAACAAATTAACACAAACAGGTGGGAAAAGAACATTCTCAGAAGGCCAGAAGTCTGAAACAGATCCTATTTGGTAAAAGCGGATGGTGTTCCTTCTTGAGACACTAGAGGGCGAATCCATGTTGTTGCCTTTTCCAGCTTCAAGAGCTTTATGCTTTCTTGGGCTTTGGGTTCCCTCCTTACACCAATCAGACATCTTCCATCATCAAGTCTCCTTTCTCTAACTCTGATCACCTGTTGCCCTCTTAGAAGGACGCTTCCTTATGATTACATTGGGCTCACCCAATAATCCAGGTTAATTTCTCCAACTCAAAATCTTTATATAAAAACTTATTTTGCCATATGAGGTAACATATTCACAGATCCCAAGAGCAAGAACATGGACAACTTTGGGGATAGGTGGGGCAATTATTCTGCCTATCATAGTATTTTGTTTTGTTTTGTTTTAGTACTGAGGATTGAACCCAGGGGTGCTTAACACTGAGTCACATTCCCAGCCCTTTTAAAATATTTAGGGTCTCACTGAGTTGCTAAGTTCCTCACTAAATTGGTGAGGCTGCCTTTGAACTCACGATACTCCTACCTCAGCCTCCTGAGCCACTGGGAATACAGGCATGTGACCCCCAACCCAGCTTGTAGTATTTTTAATTGGGAAAAAAAAGAGAATAGCACCTACAGGTCTACCAAATCTGGAAGATAATAAAAGTCATGACCAGAGAGATATAGAAAAATGAAATATGTGGTAAAAAAGTTGATTTCTTTTCCCAGCTGCACTGGGAAAGACATAAAAGAAGCTGGCCACCCTATTTATCCTTCTTATGATGTGCTTGCTTTAAGAATGCTAGAGAGGCATAAGTTTGAAATGGGAAAATAGGGCTTTATGGTGAAGACAGTGGTTCTGAAAAATGGGGGCTAAAGTTGAATGAATTGATATGAACTCCTATTCAAAAATTTGAAGTTAAGAAGTTGTAAATGGTGACCCCCCAAAAAAAATCTTAGTGAAAAAGTAAACTTTCTACAGTAATCCAGGCAGCAGTGGGGAAGTTGCCTTAGATGGGGGAACCCAGAGACTGACCACGTGACAAAGCCTTGCAAGAAAGGCTTCACATGCAAGGAAATTATTCAGGAGGGAAATAACCACTGGTAGAAAATGGGGAATATGGCAAAACAGGGAGGTCCCAATGGAGTATGTTATCCAGTCTCATACTATGTGGATGACTGAAACATCAGTCCTACTGGGGAAAGCCTGGCCAGTGTGGAAGACAAACCTCAGACTTACTCTTCCTGTGCTACCAGGTTGCTGGGGACTTACACACCTACTCCCCATCAATCATTGGTAGAGACTACCTCCAAGTGGACATCATTCTTGGCATTTCTTGTCTGCCCAGCAAGAAGCAAAGAACTCAGAGGCAAGACTCTCAGGCTGCAAAATGCAGATGCAGTAGTTCAAATGATGAGTAGTTCAAATGAGATAAAGGCAAACAGGGAGTTTGAGCGTGGAACTAACCTGCTATAAGGAAATAGATCGCTAGATTAATCAATGGAATGGTTTCAAAGGGGCCTAGTTCTCCTTATGCATAATGGTTACTCTACCATAGTGCAAATGGTCAGTAAGAGGATGGACCAACAAAGGAACAAGTTTAATACTTCTACAATTACATTTTAGAACAGGACAAGATGATCAGCAGATAACAAGTTGCATGGTTTCTGTGTTTCAAAACTTTAAATGGAAGACTGCATTTGGAATTATTTTGTAAAATGACAAACATTTACATGATGTAGAATAGAAACAATGAAAAATTGTCAAGTGATACAAAGAAAAGTTAGTAAGCATAAATTTTCACTTTGTGAACTTCTTTGTCATCACATTCCCTCTGTTTGTTGTAGTAATAAAAAGTATTGTCCCTTCTCTGAAGTTTCTTCACATAGCCTGTCTCTGGCCATCGATCTACCTGCACAATCAAAAACCAGAATATAAATATTGTAATGCCCATTTTATTTTATCTCATATTTTACTATCAAATAGTCAAAAGTACACTTGCATCAAAAAATTGAAGTATAAATTTTAAAATGCTTGTATTCTTAGAGTATTACCCACAAAAAAAAAACAGACCTTAAGCTATAAATTCATACTGTAAGAACAACTAATTCAGTGCTTCTCTCTGAAACTCAATTTCTAGGATTAGATGTCTACATGGTGGTCCAGATAGGGAAAATATTTCAAATAATATAAACTTAATTCTTCTTATGTTTATAAATTATTTCAAATGTAATTACTTATAAAAATAACCCAAGGAGAAAATCAGGGGTAGGCCTATGTTCTATTCTGAAAGCACCATCTGTTGATTATGAATGTCATAGAGACAAAAGGAAGCAACTAGACTCAAAATATCTAAAGGTGCATATGTATTTCCTTCTGCTAAATTTTCAAATTCACCTCAAAGTCCAGTTTTTAATAGACATTTGAGGCCATTAAACATAGTATTCAACAATCTTTTCTTCGCCCACTATTCTTTCCTATATTCTATATTGGTTTGCTTACTTTCTCATATGACTTGACTTGACCTGACTTGAACATTTTTCTCCCTTTCCAATTGCAATGTTATGCCTTCTTAATCAGATTATTGCATTTTTGTTGTTGAATTTGTTCCTTCAGGATTTTGTGAGATGCACTTTATCATTGTCAAAAACACATCGTTCAGGTTTTAGGAAAAATCAAATCTTGTTTTTCGCCACCATCAATACAGGCAGCCATTCCTTTTAATATTCTACAAATCATAGCTTTCAATTGGAAGAAAAGATGCACATACTATCTAAGTTTTAGGTCTTTCATTTTCTAATATTGCATTTTCTTTTTCTTGTTTACTTATGAATTAGCAAAACAGTCAGCAGCATGTCTGATAAATCTTAACAGGCCCTCTCATATTTACCCTGTAGGAAAACAGCAAACCTTTTCACCACTGTATGCCAAGCCTGTCTTTCTGCCTCCCATTACCCCAGAAGGGAAAGGAGGTCTTCTCAAGTCGCCCTTACAGACTCCCATTACTTACCAGGGCTACAAATACCATCCCGCACAGCGAATAAATAGTGCGACCACTGTCTCTGCAGAACATTTGGGGCCACATTATATGGAATGATATTTTTAAAAAGCTATATTGGGCCTGTGCTCATTGGCCTCTATAGATAGTTTTCTTTGTAAACCCCTTGCCATTTTTGATTATTTTTTTTTCTTTTGGGCTTTGAACTTGATGACTCCCATTTGATTTAGAACCTCCTTCCTGTAATAGAATGGAATGACAGGATTCTCACGTCAAATTTCCTTCTGCTTAGCCAGGGAGGTCTGCAAGCACTACTAGTACTTGTCAATGGGGCAGGTTTCAGATAAGGAAAAAGAACTTTTCTCAAACCCACAGATCTCAGCATGTTGATAGGGACATCTCACTCAAGGCACACCTTCAGTTTCCACCTTATCACTCCTTTATTAGCACCACAAATGCCACTGGGAGAATGGAGACTTTTATGAGGATTTTCCTCATTTTGTCCTCTAAATTTCTGTGCTGCTTCTTAAGGTACATATACTTTGACTTGCATACAGTTTTTTTCCCCCTTTCTTTCTTTCTTTTTTTTGGGGGGGCACGGTATGGGGGAAAAAACTCAGGGGTATTCAACCACTGAGCCACATCCCCAGCCCTATTTTCCCATTTCATATTTTATTTAAAGACAGGGTCGCACTGCTTAGCACCTCACTGTTGCTGAGACTGGCTATGAACTCAAGCTCTTCCTGCCTCAGCTTCTTAAGCAGCTGGGATTACTGGCATACACCACTGTACCTGGCATTATATACATTTGTGTGTGTGTGTGTGTGTGTTACTTATTTTCTATTCCAAGATAATAAGAAAGCTATCAATCATTAATGACAGCATTAATAGTTAATTAACAGTTCTATCCACTCAACAAATTATTATAAGCACCACACTGCTAGGCACTCAAAACATATGCTTCATTTAATTCTTATGACAGTTTTTTAAAGCAGGCACTATTGTTATTTCATAGTTGAGGAAATAGAGGCTCAGTGAAGTTGAGAACCTTGTACAGGCCAATCAGCTTGAAGAGGTGAGGCCAACCTATAACTGATTCCAAAAGTCCTGTACTCTTCCATGAGTTCACTGGATTTCTTGCAGTCAGGTACTCTCTATTTTTATCTTTTAAAGCCTTTGGCACAAAAATTTGCATGCGGCAAGTATCCAATAAATATTGTATGAAAACACAAAGCCTCTATAATTACCAAGTAATAAAAGCAAACACAACAACTTTTGCACACAGATACACACACACACCAAAAAAAAAAAAAAACCACACCCCTCTTGGTTGCTTTTTGGAACCTTCTCATTAAGGCTGTATTTTGTGTTCTCTTAAATAACATTATTAGGTATGGGGATTTATGGCAGGAGTGATTAGAACACAAAGCATGCATGTTGTGTTTCACACTGCCTCTATGATCCTGGGTCTTGAGTATCTTTAGGGACATCCCAATCCTTTTTGCCCCCTGGTGTTGGGGATCAAACCCAGAGCCTCGAACGTGCTAGGCAAGCACAATACCACTGTGCTACATCCCCAGACCCAGCATCTCAATTTAAGGCAAGGAATGAAGCTTATTTTTAAATAGCATTAACCTATTGAGTTCCAAGTTTTCATTTCTGCAAATATTTCAGTAAGTTGACATAGGTGCATTAAAATAGGTTAGACATAATATTCTAAAGCTTATATGCATATTAGTATTATTACATATTATTAGTTATATTAATTATCTTATATTAGCATTATTATTATTACATATTCTTATATAATAAGATACTAAGTTTGTAAAACAGTTTGTATAGTTGTTCTACATCTGTGATGATGGGACAAAATGGGTTAAAATGACAATGATTCCAGTTTTTCCTATTTAAAAGCCACAGATGGTGCAGTAATGAAAACTATCTTTTGGTAAGGAGACCAGAGTAAAATGTTTGTATATATGAAGAGACAGACATATGAAAATCACAGTAATCTTCATTTGACCAGTATTTTTAACTTCATTTCTCACCAATTCTGTCAAATTAATGTCTATTAAATTCAACTCTATTAAATTAAAGAGCATATTACATTTTAGCTCTGTATTTCCTCTACATCTTTTCCTATCTACTTTTATAGAAAGTATTAAATAGAAAAAAGTAGAATGCAGAAGATTATAGAGATCTGAAAAATTCACAACCAGTTTCTAAAAAATGGTGAGTTAAAAAAATAGAATAAAAAATTTCTAAAACTTAGGTAAAATAACTGTTATAACTCAAAATTTAAATATTAAATATTATGATTAAGTATTATAAAAAATTAAATATATTATTAAGTGTCCTAAATTTTAAATTTTATGAATACTATGCCCAATTCTATGAGAATCTTAAAAACTCTCCTAGTAGCCAGTAGAATAAATGAGTTAAAAGAAATTATATTGTAACTGCTGCAAAGACTAGATCTCCTTCTAGTCTTTGAACAGCAAAACAATGTCTCTGCTCTCTCAGAAAAGCTTGGAATGTGCAACCAAAGTCAAGATTTGTTCGCTAACAGTGTTTTTATTTTTTCAAGTATAATCCCCTTAAAAAACATAAGTTAACTCCTTTCTGAGTCATGGTTAAAATAAATAAACAGAAGGGAGATAATAGTTATGATAATAGTTATACAACAAATTGAATAATTGATAATAGAATTACCCCCCCCCCTTTTTTTTTTCTGCCAGGAAATATTCTTTTAGCCAAGCCTGGCTGCTCAATAAAAGCTAAAAAATTTGAACTGCCCCCAGACAAGGGGTAACTACCTCTTTGCCCTGTCAGCCTGACAAATCACTTTTCTGGGCCTTGGTCTCCTCCTCAATAAAATGAGAACTGCAGTAGAATTCCCTTCAGTTTTTTGTTTGTTTGGTTGGTTTGGTTTGGTTTTTAAAATTCTTTTCATACTCTAACAGACTCATTTCAAGTTCAGGTTTGTAGAGGCATAAATCTTACCATAGATACTTGTTTCACTTGTTTATATTCAATTTCATCCCGATATCCTGCTTGTTGAAATCTGTACAGATTTTCTATCTCTTCTGACCATTTTTTGGCACGACTTATTGATTTTGGTTTCACGTCAGAACTAGCCATGGCTACACAGGCCTTATTACCAATTATTTCTGAAAGATGTTAAAACAACATTGATAACTTAATAATAACAATTTTCAAATGTAACACTTAAAAATTATATATTGAGAACCCCAGTTTAAACATGTTAATTTTTTAACACTCAATTTTAAGATTCTAAAGGATTCGTGCTGTAATTTGGGAAACCAACAAAGAAACCTCTCCCTTCACAGAGAACTGTTTGTTTCTTCATCATATAAAATTGTACTTGGAGTTTGGAGTAATATTCTAAGAGCTGTATACCAGTCCTGGTACTCTGGGCAATAGTTTGCACATTTCTGAAAATGTTCTTATTTGTAACTGCTCAGCAGATTGTCAAAATAACCCACCACCATTCCATTTAATTATATTAGGAACTGTATCACTCACTCTTTCACTCCCACCCTTTTTTTTTCCTTAAAAAGGGAATGCAAAATCAGTCTTCTCACTCATGGCTGGGAAGCAATAGTTTCTTCATTTTTCACTTCTTAACTGCTAGGATACATCCTAATCACTGCAATCCAGGTCACTGTGGCACCCGATTCTGTGATACACCAATGTGAGAAGACGACTAAACAAATTCCTTGCAAGTTGTATGGCTATTATTGATTTTTAAACAGTGTAGGAGATCACTAATGGTCTTGTAAATTCTAATATCCAACTCTAGTTTATGTAATTGTTCATTCCCCAAACCTCTTTAGCCAGTTTTTGTTTGTTGGATTGATTTTTTTTTTTTTTCAGTGCTGAGGCTCAAGCTCAAGGCCTTTTGCATGCGAGGTTATTGCTGTATCACTGAACATAATCTTGCACTTGTTTTTCTCAGCTACTTCTTATTCTGTTAAAAAAAAAACAAACATCATTTAACTGAAATGAATGCCCAGAATTTTCATCAGGATTCCTTAAATCCATTCTTCTATTAAAATATATTTCTATTGACTGAAATACATTAAAGTCAGACTTCATAAAGTAGATCTAATGAGTTAATTAGCATTTTCTTAGTTTTTTCAATCACAATGACAAATGCTCATCAGGGTAAAAAAGGCTAAGAGACACATTAAAGTACAAAAAAGGGAGGCAAAATGATCATTATATCGATTAGAAATATCTACCCTTGACATTGAGTGAATATCATCCCAAACATAAGGAATTAATTAGGATAGACTTGAAAAGTTATAGAAAGAAGTTTTATCATAAATGCTTCCACAAGAGTAACAAATGTAGCATTACCTGGATTTAACAGGGGAAAATATAGGAAAAGGAAAAAGTGGCAGACTTGCTGAATTTCAGGTGAATATTTCCTCAACATAAAGATGTAGCCTAAAATTTCCTTCTATGGTTAATAAAAGATAATGAAAACTAGCAGGAGGCCAAACTAAGAGACACTTGCTTCAACTCTGTGTATCAATCACACTACTGATATACTCTTTTCTATGAAAAATAAGGAAACTGGTTTTATGTTCCTTCTACTTTCTCTAGATTTTGGTTACTTATTTAACATTCCGGAGTATGGCATTTACATTCTATTCTGAAACCATAATTCTCACATTTGTTTGGACTTAGTTCCAGATTTAAGGTAATTTAAATGAAGTCATTTGAATCACAAAGTTCTTCTGATGAAAGCAACAACTACATAAGTGGATCTATCATTAGTATCACTGTTTGCATTTTTTCAATGTGCATACCAACATGACCAAAGAAAATTAGGGTTTTGTTAGTGAGTTTTTAAAAACTTCTGATCCTCAGTTATGGATTTAGATTTAGGCTCATGTTGCATGTTAAAGCAAGTCATTATTAGGGCATTGTATTAATTTATGTAAAATTTGGAATACCTGACAAAATAATAAATAAGCCATGTTTCAGTAAAAATCATTGTCTTTCCATTCATTTTAATAGGGAGTTCATTAAATCACTGTTGAACAATACACTAGCTAAGTTTGACATATGTGTTAAAATATACATGTATATTATATATTACATACAACTGCATGAAGAATATTATATGTAACAAAATGATGCTTAAAAAGATTACATGTTTTTATATGAATTTAGTGGCTGTATTACTTACTTTTATAAATGAAGTGCTACAATCTTAATTTATGTTCTCCCCAAGGCATTTTTCAATTTAGACTTGATTTTTTGATACATAATAAAATACTTTTATTTGCTCATGTTCACTCAAAAATTGTTTTACTGAAAGTCATCTCCATAACTTGTCACTTTCAGGTCAGTCATGTCAACTACACATATAAAAATGCTACATTTAATACAAGAATAGAAAACATGCTGATTCAGTTGGACTGCTGGAAATCAGTTTTTTCGTAAAAATATATATCTTGTAGATATTGGGCATCTCGAAATTTCATTTCCCCAAAATATCTAAAGGGAAAATGAATGCAATTTTCAGCATAGCAGGAACCCTAGTGACTACTGTAACTGTGCTATATTGGGGCGGTGCAAATTCGACTTTTTGTCTTATTTCCACTATATTAAAAACTTAATGAAACTGAAATTAGTAAATATCAACCTGATTCCTTGATTACTGCAGTAATTCTGGGAAATTCAGTGGCTCTACTTCTGCTAGTAGCATTCAGCATTTTCCACTAAGTGGTTTCTTTAATGACAGTGACGGCAAAAAAAAAAAAAAAAAAAAAAAGATAAAAAATACTTTTGCCTCTATAATACTGTTTAATTTCCACAAACAGATAATAGCAATGCATGAGTTTCTAATTTGTGGATATTCAATTTTTATTAAATACTACCAGGATTTATGTGGTACTTGGTGGTGGGGGGGACACCAATCTCAAGTCCCTGCCAATCTGAAGTTGAATTTAACAGTACATACTTCTGATGTAGCCAGTCACTTCAAACTCCCTTCCCTGCAAAGCCCCTTTTCTTCTCCATTATATTCTAAAGTGTTTTCTTTCTTTCTTTTTTTTTTAACTGCTAGTGGTATTAAACCCTTATGAGTATCAGCCTTCTCAATCTTTCATTTCTTTTTTCATTTCATCATTTGTTCCTAACGGGTAGCTGGATCTGGCAGAGGAGACCTGTTGCCGTAACTCTGGCCACGAATGAAGGTTCCTGGACCTTAGTTTCCTAAGGGGAAAGGTGAGCATTAGAAAGTCTCTCAAGTTCGCGCTCCAGAGTCTGAACAACAGAGCAGTTGGTCCCCTCAACGGGCGTTTGCGGTCTGAGGCCAGGTGTTCCAACACGCTCGCAGCACAAAGCCAAAGCCACCCTTTTCGCCCCCCACCTCCACCCCGCAAGCTAGCAGGATGTCCCCGCTCCCTCAAACTTTCTTTCTCCCAGAAATCACCAGCTATGTCTATGAGGTGTGATCTACCCCGGAAAAACAGACCCAGAAAGTACTCTCAACACTGGGTCCAAAGGCTCAGCCCTCACAGTCGCGGGGCTGGAAGCCAAAGGGGGCGCTGGAAGGCGCAGAAACTTACAGGAGAACCACCCTGGAGTTTAGCAGGGGCCAGAGACCTACACTAAAACGACAGGTGAGACAAATCGGTACCGCGAACACCTGGCGAACCCCTAAGGCACCGAGCATCGGCGGGGCGGAAGGGGTGGAGCCCGGGCTTCCGGGGCGGGGCCCAGCCGGGCTCAGGGGCCGGTCGGCCTGCTTCTTGGCGGCTCAGCCACCCATCCCTGGGCCAGCTCTCGTGGTTACCCTCTCTCAGCCAAGCAAGAGAAGCCGGAGAGGCCAGGGGCCCGGCGGTCGCAAACGTGTTCGAGCTCTCTACTAGGAATCCGTGGGCTGGGCCAGCTAGAGGCCAACTGTCCTTGCTTCAGCGACCCTCGCGTCTCCTAGCAACGCGAAGGCGCTGCTCCAGCGGTCACTCTTAAGCCCCGCCCCACCCTAGACGCCGCTCAGTTCCCTCAGGCCCCACCCCCTCTTTTTTTTTTTTTGGGTACAGCAGAGTCCCATTTTCCAAACCAACGTCAATCCAGGAGAGGAGCTTACTCCTGAGTCTTACTCCTACCTAGAGGTGGAAAGTGAAAGGTATTGATGTTTCTTAAATTCCAGACAGAATTCCTAAAAAAGTGAATCAGAGTATGGAGACCACTATGAACTAGTCCATGGAGTAGAATATAATGCCTGACAATTAGTAAACATGCAACAAATTATATCTGTAGCTTTAATTCTTTTCTAACATTATCTTAATTATTATATTCAAAATACCATCTACACTAAAAGTAAGTTAGTGAAAGAAAGAAAATGTAAGATATACACGTTGAACATAGCACCTACATTTGTAACATAGAATAAATATTCACTCATAAATTGAAGTGTAAAAAAAGAGGCAGTGGTGTACTAGAGTCAGCTCATTAGGGATCACAACAACCAAGAGTTAAAATTTTAGGAATTTTGTTAGCTAGTTGTTGAACACAGCCATGTTATTACAAATTAAATTACATAAACTTCAAATTAAAGGAACATATTAAACATAATTACTAAAAACTCAGTGTCTACACTTTGAGAAATACTATTCTAATCTTGCCTCCCACTCCTTGTTTAACTCAAGGCCAGGTTTCCCTCTGCTGCTCAAGTTCAAAATTTAAAAGGCTTAGCTTGGGGTACAGTTCCTTTATAGTCTGATTCCTACTTAGCTGGTTCAGTCGTCACTTCCCTTTTATGTCTCCATTATTTTGCCCCTTTTGAGCCCAAAACTTAGGTTAAACAGAACTAATTTCAGGGCTCAGATTGAGTAAAAGATTGTTCTAGGGACTTCAGCTATTCTTAGGTCTAAAAGCTAAATTCAAATTTACTTTCTCTACTAAGTTTTCTGATAGCCTCTTTCTCCTTGCAAAATTAAGATCCCCCATTTGTCCCAACACTATACCTTGGGAACACTTGCATTAAAATTCCTACCAAACTCTTGTATTTGTATATGTTTGTTCCCATGGGTTTCTCCTTCTGCCAGATTGTATTACAGGTCTTAATAGGCTATAACTGATTCCTTCATGTGCCTCCTGTTTCAGGCATGTGCCAGGTCCTTAATAGATGCCAAATGAATAATAATTCCTGAAATTTATTTAGAACTTACCATTACTCCAGGGATTGGACTTTTTTTATTACTTGTATCTTAATCTTACAGGTGAGAAAACCAAGTTTCAGAGAGGTTGGTTAACTTAGCCAAGATTGCACTAATAGGAAGGACTCAGACTGTAACCAGGGCCTCCACCGTCTAGTGACTAGACTCTGAGCCTCCTATCTGTTTATTTTGGAATGTTAACTTGAATGAATCCAAACATTTCTCTGCCTACTTCTAAACCCATTTTTCTTTCTTTTTATTAAAAAAGTAATAAACTTTGTATTTTACATTGCTTTTTCTTATGAGTTAAATTGTGCCCTTTTCAAATCCAAATGTTGACATCTGGACCCTCAGCACCTAAGAATATGTCAATTTTTGGAATAGGGTCACAGGAGTTGTAATTATGCAAGATGATATCATACTAGGGTAGTGTGAACTCCTCCCTAATTCAACATGATTTGTGTCCTTTATAAAAGGGAGAAGTATGGACACAGGCATGCACATGGGGAGAAGCCCAGAAGAAGATACGTCAAAGACTGGGGTCATGCTTCTACATGAAAGGAACACTTTTTTCAAGTCAAGGAACACTAATGATTGACAGCTAACCACTAGAAACTATGGGAGGGGTATGGAACAGATTCTTCCTCATAGTCCTCTGAAGGAACCAACCTAATAGCTTGGTCTTGCACTTGTAGCCTGCAGAACTGAGATGATAAATTTCTGTTGTTTAAACCACCCAATATGTGCTACTTGTTATGAAACCCTAGCAAACGAATACACTTTTTATATCTTATTGTATACTCCCTAGAATAACAATATTCTATTCTAAAAGAATAGAATAAGACTCAATAAATTATAATGAAAGTTATTTACATTGACAAAGATTTTTAAGTATATTAAATTAAGTAAAATATATTCTAATGTGACTTCCCAACAATGATATATCTATCTGAATGTATAATTATTTTTTTAATAATGGGGATTGAGTTCAGGGCCTCACACATGCTAAGCACATGTTCTACCATTGAGCAATACCCTCAGCCCTTCAATAATGAATTTTTAGGTTTTCAACATAAGCTTATTAGCAGTTTTCAGTCTTGTTGGGATAGAAGGAATCAAAGATGTAGAAATTGAAAGAGTTGTGAGATTTATGAAAGATGGAAATTTCCAACTAAGGAATGAGGATGCAGAAAACTGTAGGTGACAGTGTTTGCATCTCACAGCTTTGCTTTATTTTTTTAAACAAACATCCACTGGAGAAATTACTCTCAGGATTCAGCATCCAAACTTGGACTTCTTCTGAAAAAATTATTTATAATTTAAGAATGCCACAAACTAGGAAATTATTGTGTTTTCTTCTTTCCTTTGGCCTCTTAAAGAGCCAAATCCAGGCCCTACTTTTCATATGAGTACTTGTGTGTGTGTATCCGTGGGCTGTGCTTAGCCATCTTCATTATTTGTCCCATCTTCATTATTTGTCCCTCTGCCTTGACTCTATTTCCCTATATTCTTTTGTATTGTATCCAATTGTGAAAAAAGGGGAGATAAATAAATGAGCAGATGAATAATAGTATGAGCGTTTTCCTGTCTTGACTTTCTAGAAGCTCCACATTCTTCAAGATTGGGTAGATATCAGACTCTCTACAGAATTCGTTGTTACATATCAACTACTTCACCAAAGCAATAGCCCTCCTTTATTCTAGGAAAAAACCATCTTATACCAAATCAAAGATGTTGCCAGTAGTAGTAGAGTGGTAGTCTATTTTACTTAAATTAGTGATTATGGTGTTTATACCTCTCCACTCCACTGCTCTTTCTTACTTTCCCATTCCCTCTCCTCTTCATTGAGATTTCATGAGAATCTGTACATAAATAAAACTCTGAGTATCAGCTAAAGGATAAGCTGATGTTCTCTAACTATGGCCCTCTGATTCCTGATTCCCATGGTTAGAACTTCTTGTTTCTGGCTTTGTTCTCATATCATTTTGTGTCTCCGCAGAAGCTATGATTTACCATATTCTGCAAACAGGTGGTCTCCAAACTGATGGACCACTATTTGAAGGTACTTTTTAGCTAGCTATGTAGCCACCATAAAGTTTGTCACAGTGTCATTGTATAAGCAGGATTTTAAAAGTGTTCCAGTTTTTGTGATTAATAATAATACTGTGTTGTCTAGAGAAACTTGCTGGAGAGAGGCACAATAAATGCCATTGTGACTACATATTTGGTGGGTCTTAACACTTTAATAAGCCTCTTCAGAGCTTTCTCCATCATCCATCTGTATATTCTAACTTTCTAAAAATACAGCTTAAACAGGGGTGGGGGGAGGGGAGGAGGCTGGAGGAGGCTAGCAGATAAGACACTGTAGGGATCCCTACTTCTTTGCTCTAAGGGCATGCTTCTGAGCTGTGATTATTAGACATAGTTCTTCCCTAAATTTGTAGATCATGTATATATACACGGAGGAGCGAACGGCTAAGTATGGAATCTACCCTGAGTATGAAATTTTCTTATGGGATCCTCATGGCTATAGAAATTCCGAGGAGAAAAACAAGCTTGGTTTTTGAAAGACAAGAAAAGGAACGCAGTCAGATTTAGAGCCACTCCGCAGCCCACTTCACAGGAATGCTACTCTTTGTTCCAGGCCCTTGATCCCACCGGGTTGGGAGACCCCACTCTAGGTAAAGCCACAAGCTCACTGTCTGCAGCTCAGCTCCGACATTTGAACCTGAGGCCCAGGCTGCGGGAACCTATGGACGCTCCTTGGCACCGCCCTCAGCCGCTAGGCTCCTCTGATTGGTCGTGGCTGCATTCGGCCGACCAATGGCGAGGCGGTGTAAAGGTTCCCGGAAGTGGCGGTCGGATCTGTGTCAGCCTCGGCTTTCGCTGCGGGCTCGGGGTTCAGTGCTCTGCGGCGCTATGAGTTCCTTTCAGGGACAGATGGCTGAGTATCCCACCATTTCCATTGACCGCTTCGACAGAGAGAACCTGAAAGCCCGAGCTTACTTTCTGTCCCACTGCCACAAGGGTGAGTGAGACCTGCGCCCCCCACTTCCGGGATGTACGGTGCTGGGAGTGACAATGGCAGAGGGGACGGGACCCTGGAGCTACAGACGTGAGGTTGTGGGAGGCCAGCCAGGGACTGGAAAGCGCACATGCCCCAGTCGGCTATTCGCCTAACACTTTATTCCTAGATCTGACAACCTGGAGTAACAGTGACTGCCAGTTGCGCACAGTGACACTGGCCAGTGTGGTAGGTCACTGAGTTATTTTGGTCGCTGTCCTAGTGGCGGCTAGTCAGATGTTGTCGAGGTTTAGTTCGTTCTTTCTCTCTGTTTCTCCACCCACTTCTCTTTACCATGTGTAAAGAAAACAAGTTTCAGATCAACTTCTTTTATACCCACCAACAGTAGTTAGCCAACATCTGTGCGCACACCTGATCAAGTTGAACAACGTGTCGTAAGCTATACCAAGTGCAAGCTACCCCTCTTTTCAGATATTCTGTCCACATTTAACATGAGAGATCCATTCTAGTCTAGGATGGCAGGATTTTCCTTCTAGAAGGCATCAGGCACCCAGAACTCTACAGTTCTACAGCTGGACATATTCAGGGATGCAGTTTAGAGTATCATATTTCATGATACTGACCCAAGGCTAGATGCTCCAGGAAGAAGCCAATGTACATTTTTAACATCTTTTTGCTGACTCGCAAGTCAGCAAATTAATTAATTTGCTACTTAATTAATTT